TGGCTTTCAGGCACAGAGGACTAGAGCACTGGAGCGCGCTAGAACTGGAGCGTAGAGGTAGATTAGTTTCCCTTTCGGCCTGCGTGCCATATTATGCATTGTGTTTCAATGGATATTAGTTAGATAGCCTGTGCACCTGGGTTCTCTAGCCCAGGTGTTGCATAGCACCCCGTACACTTATGATATACTTTGGGATGTAATGAGATATTACCTTTATTATATGAGCTTAAAATGTCTTGAAAATCTGGGGTGTTACACCTCAAGGGAACACTCCCTCCTTGAACCCCTCCAAATCCCTAAAACCCACAAAAACCCCCAAATCAAAAACCCTTCTTCTCCCTCACACCCTCCCTCACCCACTCTCTCTCTCTCCTCACCTCCATCAAGCCACCATCACCCCACCTCCACGGACCTGCCACCGCACCACCATCCATCGCCCATACTCGCCGCTCCGCTCCCCGCCGACGAGCCGCCACCACAGCCGGCCGACGACCTCGCCCACACGCCACCGCCACGAGCCCGGTCGCCGACCGTCGACCTCCCACTGCCGCGAGCCACCCGGACGCCACCCGACCTCCTCCCGCTGCCAACTGCTCCGCCCAAGGCATCGCACCTCACCATCTACCCCGAGCCACGCCGCCGGAGAAACCGCGTCGCCGAAAATTTTTGCCGGAGCCTCGCTGGAAAAACGCCGCCGGAAAAAAAAAATACCACTTTGAAAATTCTCAACAATTCCGAAAAAGCCTGTTGGCATCCGAACCCCGAAATGGAATGACGCCGATTACATGGTAATCGGAGGTAAAGCCCTCGAACCCGACCAATTCTCTCCGGAGTTGGTCGATATGCTTAAGTTTCAAGGACTCTTGGATACGTATCTCACCATCAAAGGGGATACATACCCCGAATTGGTGAAGGAGTTCTATCACCATTTAGTAGCCGTCAAGCGGGGTGATAAAGTGGAAATCACCGCTAAAGTCCGAGGCAAGGAGATAGTACTCTCCGAAGGCCGCTTGGACAAACTCCTAAAACTGACCACCACAGGTGTGTCATATTATGACCGGAAGGGGTGGATCGGTACCCAAGGCACGGGGTATATGGACTACCTCGGGTACCTACTAGGAAAGGAAGAAGGCTTCACCTCGGCCACCCGGCCTAACAGGAAATGGCTAACCGCTGAACAAAAGATACTAGTCATGATCGTAACTGAAAGCTTGTTGCCTACGAACAACAAAAACAAGGATGTGGGAAGCCTGGAGTGTACCTTTGCCAACTTCCTAAAACATAAAATCAAGTTCAATCTACCGGCCCTTATGTTGAAACACATGGAGGAAAAATTTTGCAAGACTAGCAACCGGCTTAGTCTACCTTACGGGATGATCCTAAGTTGGATCATGGAGAAAAAGGGAGTGGACCTGAGCCACACAGAGATCAAACCCGTAAGCGGCATGGTTTTCAATGCCCAGAACCTCCGCCGCAATGACATCTACTACACCGAAGGGGGACAATACATCACCCTCGAGGGGGTTTGCCTTAAACCCGAAGAGGAACGAAGGGAATTAGTTGATCAACTGAATATCTCCAACAAAAAGCTAAAACGGGCAATGCAAGAATGTGGGGGACTGGAAGGAAATGAGGAACAAGAGGAGGATAGCGAACCTAACCCACCGGCGCCCGCACAAGAAAGGGGAAACCCAGGGGGCCGAAATGAAGAATCCATCAACGAGAGCATCCTCGAGCAGCTCACCCGGCAAAACCAAATCATGGACGAAGGGTTCTCGTCGCTAATCCATGCGACGCGTACACTAGACCAGAGGGTGGCAACAATCGAGACCATATTGGGCACTCGCGGGGCATCCAGCTCAGGAGCAGGAAACGAAGGTAGACCCAAACTTTCCAATCACCACCTCACCAGAAATCCAATCTACCCCAGCAAAGACAACACATGGAGCCACATTTCCTAATCAGGAGGCCAAAATACGTGACGTCCAGGGGTGAAAGAATGGATCCACGCACCGACTTCGGGGACGAAGCCTCTTGTAAGGGGGGGGGAGTGTAACACCCCGTGTTACGACCCCTAAACAAAACTAATTAATTAATTACTTTCCCTGAAAAGGGAATTAAAATCCATTAATTAGCTAAAAAGGGGTCCACCATAGTCCATGGATCCTTATCCCTAAAACCAACCCCTTAGTCCTATAAGGAATAGAATTGGCAAGCCCAAACCATTTAGACCCTAATTAGAACTCTTAGATATATAAATAGGGGCATAGGAGGCACCTAGAACCCACACCACAATAACTTTCACCACACAAGAATTTCCAAGAATTCCCATAGGAGAAATCAAGAAAGAAGAAGTCTTAAAGAAAGACCCTTCATAGCCAAGGAATTTAATTAAGGCTAAAAGGTAACCCATGTCTCAACAAAACCTATTTTCTTTGCTATAATCTTCTCCTTTGGTTCCTCTATATGCTTGTGTCTTGATGAATTCCTTTATGATAATCGTGATATAATCTTGTTGATTGATGTGATGATTTTATGTGTGATCTTGATGATCTTGATGTTAAAAGAGGTTCTTGATATTTATGTGATGATTCTTGATAAATCTTGATGGTTCTTGATGATAAAGATAAGATATGATTTTACTGATTTGGATGGGATTAGAGCCCTAGGTTAGATTGAGAATTTGTATTGTGAAGTTCTTGATTTATATTTGGGTGGGAATTTGCATGTTCGGATGTTGTTTATGTTTAGAAGTCATGTTAGGATGTGTTCAATATGATTCTTGCTTTTGATCCATTAATTGCCACTACAATAAATCTGGCATTTAACGACGAAAGATTTAACGACGCTATAAAAAATGTCGTTAAACGTCACATTTTGTGACGATTATATTGTATATCATCACTATTTATACTTTTATGAATAATTAAGATTTCATTATTTTTACTGACGAAATTTTAATTTTTTCATCGGGAAAGGTATAGAATAGACGACGTTATATAATAAACGTCACCAAAGCTTTTATTTTACAAATGTGATGTGAAATAAAACGTCACTAAAAGTAAAACATTAATTTTACCGGGAAAAAATTTCATTTCGCGCCCTCCACTCCCTCCACTGTCTCCACTCAGCTCCCTCCACTCATAATAAGTAAATAAATAATAATATGTAAAAATTCTCTTTTATCCAGAGCCTCACATATTTTTCTACCCTCAGACAATCTTTCGCGATGAACTCTTCTCACAATCCCAGGAAAGCTCTCATCTCTTCACCATATTGAACTCAAAAGCTTCATAGTGTTGCAATACATCATCAAAAATCGTACACAGTGAAGAAGAAGAGGTTATATGCCTAGGTGACTATAAACCCTAACTTACAAATCTTCACCCATTTTTATCTGTTCTTGCTTTTCTATTCAACTAGTTTTGACCTTTTAATTTCTTACTTCTATTCTTGGTTCTAGTTTTAGTAAAATTTATTAATTTTGTTTTTGTTTTTTTTTTCTTTAGGTTTTAAATGAAAACTTGAGATAAGACCATCATGTATGTGATTAGTGGTTATCTAGTTGACTTTACCATTTGTATTCTCTCCCTGTCATACTCTGTAGGTGGTATAGAATATTTCTTTGTTTCCCTCTCTAAAAATGTGTGTGTGTGTGTGTGTGTGTGTGTGTATATATATATATATATATATATATATATATATATATATATATGGCCTATTAATTTATATTTTTGAAGTATCAATGTTAGATGATAGATCATATATTGAAATCCTCTGTATCATGTGTGTTAATGAAGAAGGAATCAGAAAAAACAAAAATTGAAGAAAGAAATCAGATGGAATCTGTAAATTTTATGTTCTCTCCTTGTGATACTCTGTAAGTGGTAAGTTTGGATTATGTGTGTTAATGAAGAATGAATTATAAAAAAAAAAAAAAAAAAAAAATTGAAGGAGATCAGATTCTAGAATTTGTAAATTTTAAGTTTTTTTTTTCATTTTTTATATATGTTTGTATTAAAGAAATTTATAATGTTGAACTAATCATATTTTCAATGATAAGTGATTTATTTATTTTTTATTTTTTTTTTGCAGTTACTAATTTCGATAAGCACATCAACTGCGCAATTGCAATACAGAGGTGATTTTTTTAAAATACTATTAGGCATGTGTTTGGTTTAAGAATGTTAGTTTCCAATGATGTTTCACTTATTTAAGAATTCGGCACTGTATGCGGATTTCTTTTTCATCCATATATATATTTTTTATTTTTGAAATACGAAGCTTTTTGTTATTATTTTGCATTGTTTGGATTCTCTGTTTCTTATTCATATGATTCTTCTAATTTGCATTTGAATGGTATATGTCTATGTCTGTAATTTTCTATTAAAGAAAATTAATTTTAATAGAAAGCAAAAATAAATATAGATTAAGACAAAAGACAAAGGAATAGAAAAAGATGAAGTAAATGCATTATGTTTTGTGGTCGACACTATAATGCAATGTTATGTTAGCCATGTGAGCATTTATTTTTTGAGAAAATGCTTTTATATTTTTAAAAATAAACTAAACCAACTCAAGCATTTATTCTGAACTGTAGTAGAGAGAGTCTATGTAAAAATTGAAACAGAAGACCGATGAATGGAAAAAGATGAAGTAAATGCATCATGTCAGTTTGTCTTCTACAGTATAATATAATGTTATGTTTGCCATTTGTCATTTATTTTTTGAGAAAATGCGTTAACGTATGTGATAATATAGTTGTGCATTATAACTTTAAATAATTTATGTTGTAAGTCATTATTTGTATTATATAATAGGTACAGTGTTTCTCTATGGATAAGGCATGGATGACACAAAATAAAAGGTCCAATGAATATATTGAAGGACTTAAGGAATTTATGATATTTGTGGTTAAGAACAATGGACATGATTGTGAGATAAGGTGTCCATGTAAAAAATGCTTAAACACATGTTTCTTAAATCAAAGTTCGGTATACATGCATTTGCGCCAAAATGGTATAGACACGGGTTACACACGTTGGATATTCCATGGAGAGCCACCAATTTTTCAAGAATCAGTTATAAATGATTTTCATATTGAGGATGATGATTTAAGTGAGGAACACATAGATGGAGTCCAAGAGTTCTTAAATGATTATGAAAATTTTGTGGACTTCAACTCTCATTCAAATCCCAATATAAAAAGTAGTTGTGAAGTTGATGGTTTTGAGAACATGTTGAGGGAAGCAAAACAAGAATTATATCCAGGTTGCACTAAATTCTCAAAATTGTCTTTAACGGTGAAGTTGCTTCATTTGAAAGTGTATAATAAATGGAGTAATAAATCGTTTGACATGTTGCTTGAATTACTAAGTGAATGCTTACCTGATGGAAATACACTTCCACGTTCTCACTATGAGTCTAAAGCTATGCTTCGTAGTTTGGGATTGGGATATATAAATATTCATGCATGCAAATATGATTGTGTGTTATTTTGGAAGGAATTAGAGAAGCATGAGTTTTGTCCTATTTGTGGTACTTCTAGATGGAAAGTTAAGGATGGTAAAGGAAAGAATCTTCCTCATAAAATATTGAGATACTTTCCACTAAAACCTAGGCTTCAAAGATTTTTTATGTCAAAAAAAACAGCAAAAGATATGAGATGGCATAAAGAAAGACGAATTGATGATGGTGAATATTTGCGTCATCCGGCCGATTCTAAGGCTTGGAAGGATTTTGATCAAGAGTTTCCATGGTTTGCTAATGATGCACAAAATGTTAGGCTTGGTTTAGCTTCGGATGGATTCAACCCATTTGGTAATATGGATAACTCTTATAGCATGTGGCCTGTTATATTAATCCCTTATAATTTACCGCCATGGATGTGTATGAAGGATCCATTCTTTATGCTAACATTACTTATACCTGGCCCTAAAGCACCTGGAAGAGATATTGATGTTTATTTGCAACCTTTAATTGAAGATCTCATAGAACTATGGGAAATAGGTGTGACAACATATGATGCTTGTTCTTTAACAAATTTTCAATTACATGCTTCTATCCTGTGGACTATAAATGATTTTCCAGCTTATGGCAACTTGTCTGGATGGTCTACTAAAGGATACATGGCTTGCCCAGTTTGCAATGATGACCCATGTTCTGTTAGATTAAGGAGTAAGTTGGGATATATAGGCCATCGTCGTTTCTTGCCCACTAATCACACATGGAGGCGAAGCAAGAAGTTTAATGGGAAAGTGGAGAGTCGAAGTGCCCCTTTGGAGTTATCAGGTGAGGATGTGTTAAGGCAACTACATGAAATAAGTGACAGTCCATTTGGTAAGCATCCAAACAAAAGAAAAAGGAAACGAAATCTTGAAGACCTTAACTGGTGTAAAAAAAGTATATTCTTCAAGCTGCCTTATTGGGAAAAATTGAAATTAAGGCACAATCTTGATGTTATGCATATTGAGAAAAACATATGTGATAATATCATTGGAACTTTGCTAAATATTGATGGAAAAAATAAGGACACTTTGAAAGCAAGACAAGATTTAGATGATATGAATAGTAGGAAGGAATTGCATTTGGTTAAGAAATCAAATGGATCATATGAAGTTCCACATCCATGTTATATGTTGACAAGAGAAGAGAGATTGAAATTTGCAGAATTTTTGAAGTCTATTAAGTTTCCAGATGGTTATGCTTCTAATATCTCTAGGTGTGTGAATGCTGATGGTAAACTTATGGGTTTAAAAAGCCATGACTGCCATGTTTTATTACAAAGAGTATTACCTGTTGGAGTGCGTGGAAGCTTAGAAAAAGAAGTTACCACTGTGTTATCTGAATTAGGGGATTTCTTTAGGAAGTTGTGTTGTAAGACCTTAAAGCTGGCAGATTTAGATGTCCTACGCAATGATATTGTTATCATACTTTGTAAGTTAGAGATGATTTATCCACCGGCTTTCTTCGATGTCATGGTACATCTAGCAATTCACCTTCCACAAGAAGCTGCCCTAGGTGGACCAGTACAATTTAGATGGATGTTTATGATTGAAAGGTGATATATATTTCATATAATAATTTTCATTAACTCTCTATTTACCTTACCAACACTTATACTATTGTAATATAATTTAAAAACATCATTATATTCTTGTTGTAGGTTCTTAGGCTCACTTAAACATTATGTGAGAAATAAAGCTCATCCAGAAGGATCAATTGCTGAGGGTTATGTTGCAAATGAATGCTTGACTTTTCTTTCTCTATACCTTAATGGAGTAGAGACTCGTTTCAACAAACCAGATAGAAATAATGATAGACAAGAAACACATGATGGGTTGTCAATATTTTCACATAAGGTTCTTCCGTTTGGTGCTTGGAAATATGAAAAATTAACCAAGGAAGAACTTAATAAGGTTGAATGGTTTGTATTGAGTAATTGTGATGAAGTTGAATCATATATTGAGTAAGTATATTTTTTGACATAAGATCATATAACTAAATTTAAAATTTAAAGCTAATTCATTTTAGTTAATATTTTCTTATTCTTTCCAACATTCGTAGTGAACACATTGGTTTACTTGAGAAGGGAAGTTTGACTAATGTCAATGACAGACATAAGAGGGAGTTCCCAAAGTGGTTTAGGGAGAAGGTTAGTGTTAGTGCAACATTAATATTATTAAACAATACCTAAAATATGCTTTATTCTTATTATTGATATTTTTGTAATTGAACTGTTAGGTATTCCAATTACATAATGCACATGCAACTAAAGCTATGGATGACTTATACTCACTAGCTTGTGGACCTCAACTGTGTGTTCGAAAATATGCATCTTGCATAGTGAATGGAGTTAGATTTCATACAAAAGATCGTGATAGTCGTCATAAAACTCAAAATTGTGGAATTTCTGTGCAAGGAAATCATGGGAATGAATTGATTGATTTTTATGGTGTGTTAAACGATGTAATTGAGTTGGAATACATTAAAGGATACCGCATTGTTCTTTTCAAATGTGATTGGTTTGATATTGGAAAAAGGTCATGCATTCAACATGATGGGATATATACTAGCATTAAAGTTTCAAGCTTTTGGTATAAAAATGATCTATATGTTTTAGCTTCTCAAGCAAAGCAAGTCTTCTACCTAAATGATCCAAAGTTTGGATTAAATTGGCGAGTTGTTCAACAATTTCAGCATAGACATATTTATGATGAAAATGAAGTTGATAGTATACCAGATGATAAAGATGACACACTTGATAATAATGATGTTTATCAAGACAATGAGATGGTATCTAGTAATGGCATAACTGTTGGACTATGTGATGACATTTCTACATCCTTGCATAGAGTAGATGTAGAATCACACATTGTGGAAGCTATTATTGTGCCATCCGAAAGAATTGAAGCTGAAGAAGATTTTGTAATATCAGATGATGAAGATGAATCTCCTATTGAGTATGATAGTAATGAGGAAGAAATGAATGATGATTCTGATGAAATTGAAGATTCATAAGTGAATTGTTTAATTGTTTTCTCAAAGTATGTTAATATATTAAAGAGTATGAATTGACATTAAAAAATAGCAAACCATTACTTAAGCTAATTACTTTTTTCTCCATCTTTTGCAGGTTATGAAATGGCACCTGGTCAATCAAAAAAACGCAGAAATTCGTCATCATCAGCTGTTGAAGTCACTAATAGGATTTCGCTCACAACTAACACTGAAGTGATGGGTTCTACAACTTCTCTTCCAAGATCTAACCCTGAAGTGAACAATACACAATCTGTAGATCAACTAAATCAAAGCATGCCATCCTCTTTATCACCAGATGCAACACCAAACCCAGGTTACAATTTGAAAATAAGAAATCCAATGATATCAATAGAAATATATTATATTTTCTAACACTGTTGTAATTATTATTATTATAATTATTATTATTATTTCACATTTGCTTTTTAGATGGTGGGTTATCCAAAAAGAAGCCATGTAGAGGACCGACAAGGGGATTTGGATTGGTTAAAAGGAATGAGGTTGCCGGAAAGAAGCTACAAGTTGTTGTTGATGTAGAGCATGGGCGTCCTTTAAATCGAATTGAATCAGCTAAGTTATCCAATGAACTCGGCCAAATAGTTAGAGATTACATGCCATGTCCAATAAAATATTCTAACTTCACTGAGGAAGAAAAGAATTGTGCTTGGGAACGACTTCTTGTAAGTATCTAACAATATTGAAAATTTGCAAACTTTAAAAGCATTGTTTTGCTAATATATAAATTGTTTGCAGTATTTAATTATGTACCCAACTTCTAAAGTTTACAATATTTTTCCTTGTTTTTGCAGATGAGGTTAGATATTGTAAACTTTCGAGAAGATTCTCGAGTCTTTGAATGTGTGGAGAACATTCTAAAAGTTCGCTATAGAAACTACAAGCATGCATTGCACAAAGAGTTCTTGAAATATAATTCTGCAACTGAGGCAAAGTTACATGTCCCTAAAGGTCTAACAACTGATAATTGGAATGAGCTATGTGATTATTGGTCTAAAGGAGATGTACAGGTTTTTTTCTTCCTCATATTATAGTTATATGGTTATACTTTTGGCTTGATAAAAATATTTATATGGTTTTGATGCTTAATATTATAGGTGAAATGCATGATAAACTCTTGGTGTCGCAGCCAACAAAAAATGCCTCATAATCAAGGATCGGCAGCATTTGTGCCGGTCTTTAATGAACTCGTATGTATTAAAATTTTATTTATGGTTCAGTTGAGATATATATTTAATTGATTATTGCTTATTTATTTACCATAGAGGCAAAAAGAGGAGGGATGTTTTACGCCTAATAGGATTGCTTTGTTTAAATTCACACGTTGTAAGAATGAGAAGTGGATTACAAATGATGCTGAGGAGAACTATGTAAGTGATTTTAGAAACATTAAGCAATACAAATCCTCAACTATTATTATGATCTATAATATTTTATAACATTTTTCATTTAAGTGAGTTTGTCAACTTTTCAGAAAAAAATGGTGGCCATGCTAGAGACTTCAGAGTTAGAAGGAAACCCCATGACCGTTGATCAGGTTTATGATGCCGTAATGGGCAAAAGATCAGGATATATTAAGGGAATGGAGAATGGACCGAAACCGGTGACATCTACATCTACTCGAGCAGATAATTCCCATCTTGAGGAGAAAATGAAAGTAACAATGGAAGAAAACACTCAACTAAAGAATGAAGTTCAAGAATTGAAGATGAAGTTTGAACGATATGAAAAGTATGAAGAGTTACTTGCTGCATTAGCTGCAGAGAGATCAACCCAAGAATGGTATCAATATATTATTAAAATTAGTATTATTAATTATTGAATTGAACTTCTAACTCTAATGCATCATACAAATTTTAGAATTGCAGATCTTGGTAACCATTTTTTGTGAATTACAAGGTAAGATACACAATTAAACTTAAGTTTATTTATTTATTTTTTAAGTATTCAGTCATATGATTTTTTTTTTAAACAGTCTTATGATAGTTGCAGTAAAACTTTTTATTTTTTAATTGCCTTTTGTAGGGTATAATTTTGGACATAGTTTGAACTTTGGGAGTCAAAAGTTATGAGCATGGACTGTGAGCCAGCTACAAACCAGTATTATTTAGTACTTTTAATTTGGTGTTGGAGCATCTTTTGTATCATTGCTGGAAGGAGTTGAAACATCTTTAGTACCCGACTTTTTGCTAAAGAAGCTATTATCCCGGTCACCAACTTTAACCAGAATTTAAATGATTCGGTAAGCAAATTTTGTTGGAGGTACTTATAATAATTTCTTAATTAACAATTTTTTGTCAATGTGAATAAAAACTAATAAATATGAACATGTTTTTGAAACATTAATTTATATGAGTCTTACATTAGAATTATCAATTGCAGGGCTCTTGGTGTGACTTCATGTTTTAAAACTTTGCTATAACAGACTGACACAACTTCCTATTATTTTGGGTAAGCTTTCTTACTTTGATAACTCAATATATTTCAGAAATTATTTTTACTTTTATATTATATTATATGGAGAATAACTCAATTATCAAAATTGTATGCAAGTTAGTGTGTAGGCTTATGAATTTTTTTATTTACATTTTATGGTATATATTTTGAACTTGTTCACAATAGTTGAATGATAGAAAAAGTATGTTTTTTCCCCTTAGGTATCATTAAAATTCAATATGTCATATTAACTTGTGTTTTTAATTATTGCTTAATGAAGTTATTAATGTCATGCATATTAACTTGTGTTTTTCTCTATCAAAAAAGGAACCAGGTAGCCTGATGCAGAACTTGGAAGTTTCATATTGCCGAGTCTAATTCAATGCTCTTTTTAATTTATATTGTATTGTAGTTATTAGCAAAATCTATTAGAATAATTACTTTAATTATATCCTTGTAATTCAGTACTATATTACAATATTTTAATGCTAGTCATATAAAATTTATTAATTATATACTATTGTATTTTTTTGATAGTTAGTGTTTATAATTGCACTACAAATAAAAATATTTATAATCACCAAACAACATAATATTTATTGATGCATTTTGAATTTCATCAGTAAATTCTTTTGGAATAATTCATAATATTTGTCACCAATAACATAATACATGACAAAGATTTCAATATATAAAATGCCAGCAAATGTATATTTTGTGACGCATTTAAGATTTTATCAACAAATTTTTCTTGACGATTTCTCAATTTTCGTCGCCAATCGTTATTATTGATGACAAGCATTACAAAATATAAAGCATCAGTAAAGCTCTAATTAACGACGCTTTTTAAATTTCGTCGTGTATACTTTTGCTGACGTTTTATTATATATTCGTCACAAATTTTCGCTTTTGCATGACATAATTTAGAGTATGTAAAAACGTCGGCAATTATAACATTTAACGACGAAATTTTTGTTTCGTCAGTAATACCTTTCCATACGCCGCAAGCGCGACGACCATGGTGACGTTTTTATTTCGTCACTAATAATTATTACTGACGTTTTTCTTTCATTTACCGACGTTTTTAAACGTCGGCAAATGCGTAATTTCTTGTAGTGTGCCTACGTGGTGTCGTTATTTGCGTTTAAAAGTATCTAAGCATGGTTTCATGTTCCACGGAGGATCCCGGGACGTTTATTGTGATAAGGAGTCAGTGGGGGGTAGGTGGGGGTAGGGGAACCCGCCACCTACCCGCTGCCCAAAGAGGTACCATCGGCAGCGGGCAGCCGGCGGGCAGGCGACTGCCTGCCGGGCACCCGCTGCCCGGAGAACTATCGCCGGCGGGCAGCCGGTGGGTGGCCCTCCACCCACCGGCTACCGGCTGGTTTGTTGCCCACTTCGGGTCTTTGGCTTCCCCGTTTGATATTCCCCAATCCCTGTGGTGTCCCAACGGACCCCGTTTGTCGTGCATGAGTCTAGTTTGATGTTTTGGGTACCATTCATAGGTTAGAAGAGTCTCAGGTAATACATGCTAGCTGAATCGGTAACCCGTTGGCCTAGGAGGAAGATGCATGAACTCCTTAGGACTATTCTTAGTATGTGAATAATCACACGTAAGTTTATTTATACGACTCCCCCTTCCCAATGTGCCAATACGTGCTACTATGTGTTATGTGATGCATGATTCCCCAATTTGGTTGCGATCAAATTGGGTGTTCCTGAGCTGCGGTTCAGAAGTTGGCCGTGGTCAAATTGGTTACTTATGAGCTGCGGTTCATTTTCCTGGCTGCGGTCAGTGATTCACTTCTTGGGCTGCGGTCCACATGGGCCTCGTGTGCTATGGTCCACCGACTGGACGCGCCAGGCGGTGTGTAGGGCCGTTAGCCCGAGGAAGGCTGTAGCCCACCGAATGAGTGATCAGGCGGTGTGTAGGGCTATGGTGGGCTGCGATCCACCGAGTGTATGTGCCAGCGGTGTGTAGGGTCGTAGTCTCCGAAGATCATCGCCCACCGAATGAGTCCCTCAGGCAGTGTGTAGGGCTTGATCTACTACGACCCACTGACTGAGTTCGTCAAGCGGTGTGTAGGGTCGCAGTCCCCCCTTGTAAAGAGGATCACAGTCCACCAACTGAGCGCGTCAGTGGTGTGTAGGGCTGCAATCCGTCGTCGAGTTCGTTGACGGTCTATACGGTTGGTTGCGATCAACCCCTTCATGTTGCGGTATGAGGTAGGGTGCTGCGGGCCGTGTTAGTACTATATGTACTAACCCTCATGTTGGAGAGCTTGTTGTGGTGTAAGAGAAGTCTTTTGGTCTTCAAGAGGTAACCCATGCTCTACAAAACCTATTTTGCTTACCTATATGTGATTTCTTGGATTCTACTTGTGTTTTGGTATGAAATGTGAGAGTTTATGCATTTATCTTGTGATATTGCATATCTAGAGCTTGTGTTTAGGATTCCTTTGTGCCATTGCTTGGCATGTTCCTTGGTTCAAGTCATTTTGTTGTGTTTGGTGAGATTTGGCATGTTT